TGGTAATTTGTGAAAAACTATTAGCTATTCTTAGGGCATTTTTATTGTTTGTTAGGTGCTGGGCGTAGAAAGGTGAACTTCATATGGTCTCTGCCCTCAAGAAACTGGCCATCTAAAGAGGTCAGAAGCTATGGCATTGCTTCATGTAGCCAGAGTAATAATAAACTACTAGGTATAGTCAGCCTGAAGGAAAACTAGATATGGGGCAAAGTTAGGGAAGATAAAGTTTGAAAGCTGAGTTTTGAAATACGAATGGAAGTTCTGGGGGCTGGATGCAAACACATTCCGGGGCGGGAAGAAGGCTCTGCTGAGGCCTGGCCAGACTGGAACATCTGGTGAAAGGACATGGGGACAGGAACAGACAGAGAAGATGGGCTTTCTCCTGTTGGTGACCGAGAACCTGTGAGGGTCTTTAAATATGATACTTGTTGTGTGTTTTTTTTTTCACCTTCATTACAAAACTAATACATGTTCATTGTAGAAATTTTGGAAACTTATGAAAAGGCAGAAATTCTCTATTCCTCTCCCCACAGGAAGTCACTGTTGATATTTTGATTTTAATCCTTTTAACCTAATCACCTTTAAATAGTTTTTTCAAAATGAGAGAAAGTTGCATACTCAATAAAGGGTTTTAGGATAGGAGAAATATGATCAGAATTGTGTTCTAGAAAGATCCCTGTGCCTGCAGGGGTGTGGGAGTTGGGTGGGGTCGAGGAGAGCCCAGAGGAGACCCTGTAGTAATTGAGGTCAGGGTTGCTATGGTGGGACCAGTGGGGGTGGGGAGGGGAGGGCAGGCTGGAGAGAGAGCAGCGGGTGGAGTGGGCTTGGTATCCTGAGATTTGAGAGAATAAATTAATGTGCACTTCAGCCACAGCATCCTCTTTGGGCTTCCCTGGTTGCTCAGACAGTGAAGAGTTTACCTGCAATGCGGGAGGCCCGGGTTCAATCCCCCGGTCAGGAAGGTCCCCTGGAGAAGGAAATGGCAACCCACTTCAGTATTCTTGCCTGGAAAATCCCATGGACAGAAGAGCCTGACAGGCTGCAGTCCATGGGATTGCAAAGAGTCAGACAGGATTGAGCAACTAACACTTTCTTCACTTCCCAAAGTAAAAGGCTTCAGGCTGGAGGTCAGCAAACCCCGGTTAGTGAGTTGGCCTGAGGATCTGCTTTGTGTGATGTGTCCTCAGAAGGAAGTGAATGACTGCTCTTTTTCCTCCCTGAGGCCCCCTGTGAGGGCAGATAAGAGCATTAGACACAAGAGGCAGAGCTGGAAGGACCTGACACCTGAGGGCTGTTGCCATGGGCCCACTCAGCTGCCGGCTGAGCCCAGGGGAGCCCAGGGCTGCCTGCCCTGTGGGCTTGGGTGGCGCCAGCAATGGAGGGCTGAAAAAGTTCCTCAGGTGGTTCTGATGTTCAGCTGTTGCTGAGAGACACCCCAAGAGGGCAAGTGACTTGCCGAGGATGCACAGCAAACCAAGTTTAGAGCAAACCCAGGATCCAAAGTCCTTGCCACCCATTCCCCTTGTCCCCCTAAGAGCAAAGCTTTCCTGTATAGGGTTAGGGTCATAGGGTTGAGCCCAGATGGGAAGTCCCGGCCCAGCTCTTCATCTGTCTTGGGACCCTTGACCTATTGCCCTGCTTCTCCGAGCCTCCATTTTCTCGTTTTTTGTTTTTTGTGTTTTTTTTGTGGAGCTAATCCTATCCATCCTGCTCTATTCACAGGAATTTGAGAATAAAAGGAAGACAGACATAAAAATACATAGAGAGGACTTAATTTAAAAGCACCATGACATATAAGCTGCTTATATATCCCAACCTTTCCCCATGTGCCTGCCCTGTGCTGAGCACCATTGGATGCAGGGGTGGTCATGGCTGGTTCTACTACCAGATGAAATAGATGGGCTTCCCCTTTGCCCAGAGCTTTGGGTCTCATCTTGGCCCTGGACCCAGAGTACTGGAGGTGGGCGCTTCCAAACCCCCATTTCTCAGGAGAGGACAGTTGGTTGGCAGCAGAGCCGGTATGGAACAGGCCTGTTTCCTGAGGAGTCTCCGGTGCCCTTACCAGACCATGTCTCATAATTGCTAGTGAACACACTTGGGTGCCATAAATAGACACCACTGCTTTGAAAGGCATTATTCACACTTGCCAACAGATGCCTCCTTTGTACCTTATAGGTGGACCAGCCCACACCTGACCTTAGGAGCTCCCAAGTGTGCCCCTGGTCTCTGCCTCCGGAGCAGCCATTCCCATGTCACCCACTGGACTTCCTCATCGCCCCTCTCACTGAGGCCCCTTGGGGGTGACCCTGCTCGCACCCCTGTGGTCTCTGCTCTCCCAATGGTGGCCTCTCTCTTCTCCACTTGCCGGGGCCCCTCGTGTAGCCTCTCCCTGCTCATTTCCTGCCCCTCCACCATTTTTTCCATCTGAGTTCTCTGGTCTCTTCTGCTATAACAGCTTTTATTTGTTGAGTCTTCTGTGAACACCAGGCACTTTTCAGACCCTATCTCCTTTTGTCTCTGAGTGGTCCCAGGAGATAGAGGCTAAGCTCCAACAGGCCAAGGTGCTTGCCCAGGGTGTGCTGGTGGGGAAACGTGTGACTCCAGGGCCCTCTCTCCTCATCATTCTTTCTGGCTAGCTGCTCCCGTTTTCCTGGGAGTAAGGGCCCTGGGATCCAGAACCACTTAGGCCTCCCCCTACCTCATCCACAGCAGTGGAGACAAGGAGCGCAGCTAGAACCCAGGACAACACTTACATACAAAAGGGGCTCAAACCTTGTATCCTGAATGAGAGGAAGGAGTCCTACCTTTGCTCGGGTTGGGGTGGGTGGGGATGGCTCCCCACCAGGGCTCTCACGCAGCAACTGGACAGTTAAAGTCCCTTTCTTAGAACTCTGTCTTCCACCAGCCTGGATCCACTTCCACTTGGATTGGAAATCCACTTCCCCCTGGATTTCTAATCAGAAATTCTTGGTATTGACCTTTGAGAACCTACTTGGTTCTGAGTCCCAAAGGCTTCTGCTCACAGCCTAGTTAGAAGTTAAAGCAGCAGGGTAGGGCCAGAGTGAGAGAGGAGTGAGCGGGCATTGAGGCCCTTGGCTGACACCCCTCCCTGGTCCAGTTCAGGTGTGGGTGGGTTCTGTGGCACTCTCTGCTCTCGTTGGTTGAGAGCAGGTGACTCATACCAGCTACTTCCCCTGTCCTCTTTATAACCTCATGCCCACTCCCCTCCCAAAGAATGCTGGGTCGGTGAGAAGACCCCAGTTCAGTGGAGGCCAGTCTCTACATTTGCCCCAACTCATAACTCTAGCCTCGACCACTTGGTCACGCTCAGCCTCATTTCCCACCCATGGTGGAGTAGACACCGGGGGACGGACCCCTCACCCTGATGAGTTCCTGGAGAAGGGCTGGGTCTGGGCTGGCTTCCTTTGGTCCTGGCAAACAGGGAATTATGCTGTAGTTCCCTAATGGCTGCCCTGCAGTCACTGTAGAAGCTTGCCCAGGGGTGGGGCACAAGAGGACTCCAGCCGCCCTGAGGAATCAGGTGGCTGCCTGAGCCAGGAGCCTGGGCTGGTCTGTCTAGTGCCCAGGGGGCCACCCAGGCCTGGTTCCCTGGAAGCCCCTCCTGTGGCCTTCCTCCTGCTGCTCCTGAATCCAAGGCTGGGACACTTGGCTGCTTGGACACATACGTGGGTTATTACTTCATTTTCAGATAAAAGATCATCTAGCATTGGGTGAACTTTATTGAAGCATCCTGTTTACCTATGAACACCCAGCACACAGTTGCCTTGGGTCCCTAATGGTGTGTTGTATCCAGCAGAGAGTTCTACGCTGGGAACTGGGAGACCTGGGCTTTGAGATGGTGGTACCTGGATCAGGTCCTCTTTTGTCTCTGGGCTTCCTGGCTTCTCCTGCACACAGCGGGGGCTGGGACGGATGACCTCAGAGGGGCTTTTCAGGATTTTCTGGGTCAGGATTTGCAGCTGGATGGTGGAACTGAGAAAGCCATCAGGAGGGGCCACGACCCCCCTTTCTCTCAGTGTACCATTTCAGTTCTGCAGGAAAGTTAAATGTTGATTGAAAAACAGTCCCCATGTGGCCCAGAGGAGAGGCACTTTCTGCCTCACTTGCATGGTGGGCAGGTGTCAGTTGAGGCGACTGCCCAGGAAAGGACCCTGGCAGAAGGAGAGAAGATGTTTCTGAAACAGCCAAGGCAGTGGCATGAGAATCCCTTCCCAGGTAGTACGGGCCCCTCAGACATCCGTCCTAGTGGTGGGGCCAGGGCTGGGCGTTTGGAACCATCTTTAGGGCCTGGAGTGGAAGGATGGGACCTCGTTCTCAAAGTCCTGAGCCTCACCTCTATTGCTCCTGAGGCCAGACCTGAGTGTGCCCAGGGCTTAAGCTCTCTATTGTAAAGACATAGGAATACCATCCCCCAGTTGGAGGTCATAGAGATCAGAGGACCGTAGCAGTCAAAGACCATTGCCCAGCATCCACAGTCATGTGATGAAGGCCTGGGGAGCCCTGACACCTCGTGTCTGAGGATAGGCCACACACTAAAATCACCATCTCTCCCTCTCTCCTCCTGGTCCATTTCCTGTGACCTGCTGCTGCTGCCCGATCCCTAGGAGGTGGAGGTGAGTTCTGCCTGGGGCCCCCTGCATATGTACCTGTAACTCTACACCCCACTGTTCTCCCTTGCACCCTCACCCCAGTTTTTCCTTCCCTGCAGCATTCAGTGTGGGATGAGGGGTCAGAAATAAGGAACTTAGGGATGAGGGCAGAAGGATTCTGGACATGGGTTTAGGGGGTAAAGGTCTGGGGGAGGCAGCTGGCAGGGCTTGGGTAGACAGGGTCACCTGGGAAGCCACCAGGATGATGGCAGTTGGCATAGGGAAGCAGTGGCCCAGGCCCTTGCTCTGTTGGCCCTGGAGTTGAACTTTGGCTCTAAGATGTAAATCTTAGCCGTTTCCTTCCCTCTCACCCACTCTGTCCTTCCCTAGGATGACTACATCAAGAGCTGGGAGGACAATCAGCAAGGAGATGAAGGTAACATGTCCCTCTCGTGGGGGAAGGTGACTGACCCATGAGGATTTGTGACCAGAGGGCAAGTCCTGATTGTGGCCTTGGAGGTTCCTTGGGGAGCCAGGCCCGGATTGAGATGAAACTTCCAAGTTGAGGAGCTGTGGTTATCAAGGGCTGCTAGAGAGGGGGGCTTCCCAGCTCAGAAGTGGGGCTGTAGGCTCCTGGGCTCTCTGACACTGAATCCCAGATAACCTGTGTCCTAACTCTTTGTCCTTGCAGCCCTGGATACCACCAAGGACCCCTGCCAGAAGGTGAAGTGCAGCCGTCATAAAGTGTGCATTGCCCAGGGCTATCAGCGGGCCATGTGCATCAGCCGCAAGAAGCTGGAGCATAGGTGAGGGCCTTGGGGAGGTGGAAGGCCTGGAGGGGGTTTGCTTAAAGAGGAAGGGCTTAACTGATCCTCTCCTAGGTAACAATTATCTTTTGCTGCAGCTCAAACTACCCCAAAGCTTAGTGGCTTGAAGGGACAAATGTGTGTTACCGCACACAGTTTCTGAGGGTCAGGAGCCGGACGTGGTTCTATTGGGTGGTTCTGGCTCAGGGACTGTCAGGAGGTTCCAGTCAAGATGAGCGCTGAGGCTCCCTCCTCTGAAGGCTTGACTCAGGCTGGAGGATCCACTTCTAAGCTCACTCACTCGGCTGTTGGCCCTAGTCAAGTGGACCTCACAGAGGAGGGAAGGAGTGAGGCGTATTTGAGGCTTTAGCTCCAGTCCAAGGACAAGACCCTGCCTGACTCTAAGACCCTTGGAGAAGATCTCATTCCCCTCCCCTTTCTCCTTAATCATATAATCAGAAAGCAGGGACATGGGGTTGCAATCTTAGATGCCTTTAGGGGCCTGGCAGGTAATGTAAAAGGATGAAGAGAGAGCTTGCATTGGTGACAGACCAGTCTGGTGAGGCCAGGCCTTATGGAAATGTGGGACCAGGACTCTCATATCTTCCATTTTACCTAGGCCAGAAATTCTGGGTTTTTTATGTGAACTCTTCCATTTTGCAAATGTTGGTAAATAACCCAATTGAAAACAAAAATCCTTGGTGTGCAATAAAATTCGGGTCTACAGACCACAAGTGGCCCTTGGGCCATCAGTTTGCAACTTCTGATTTGACCTGACCCCTTATGTGAGTACAACTCTCATTTACATCTTACAGTTGAACCTGGAGTTGAACCTGAGGGCCCTGCTGGAAAGGGGAAGCTGAGAGTGTCTATACTCTGCCTGATTGGTTCTAGTTTTATGAGCGAGAGGAGGGTCTGACTGGGGGTGATAGGAGGGTGGGCGGGGGCAGGGAGGCAGCTCCAAATGCTGTAGATCACCAAGAGCAGCTTCTTGTTGGAACGGGTCTCCTGAACCCTCCCTTCCCCTGTCTGTCTCTCATTTTTGCTTTCATTCTTGTAACCTCCTATCCCACTCCTGTAGGATCAAGCAGCCTGCCGTGAAGCTCCATGGAAACAAAGACACCGTTTGTAAGCCCTGTCACATGGCCCACCTTGCCTCTGTCTGCGGCTCTGATGGCCACACTTACAGCTCAGTGGTGAGGAGCTGTGGTCCCAGGCGGGGTGGAGGTGGGGTGCACACTTGGGGCCACAGGGAGCAGAGAGAACAACTCAGCCAGGCCTTCTGTGTGGCTCCCAGTGATGATGTGGGGCCAGGTGCGCTTGTCAGCACATCAATGTGGCCAGCCACAGTACCGGCCCCAAGCCCAGGGGCCTGGTCAGGGTAGGTGAGGGGTGGGGCCTGGAGGAGGCCGGTAACTACAAGTCAGAGTAGGCGAGGGAAGAGCTTCATGAGAACATGGAGGGCAATAGAAGAAAGGAGTTCTGTCATCCAGGTGTTGGGGGTTGACATCTTTCCATGGTTGGGTATCCACATGTACAGGATGGTTCACCAGCAAGCACCAGGCATTCTGGTACAAGAGGAAGTAATCCTTCATGAGATGATGGTGTGGGAGGGAATGGTGTTTGGGGGAATGAGGGCCAACTTTGTAGGATTTTTGTGAGGGTTAAATGAGACCGTATTTGTGAAAGCATAAACTTTGAAGTACCATAGAAGTGCAGGTGCTAATTGTGAATGCTTCTACTAGCAGTGAGGACTTTTTTGGTGTTTGGAGGGCATGGACTGTTAGCTGGAGTTGGGTTCTAGGCTTAGGATCCCATTTGGGGTGTGATGCACTTTTAAGAGTCATCTGCTGTGGGTGATGATTGAAGTTGGGGAGGGGATGAGGTCACCAGGGAGAAGAGGAAGGAGAGAGAGAATAAGCCAGAGGGCAGAAGCTGCCTGGAGGAGGCAGAAGGTTACAGAGGAGGCAAGCAGAGCCAGTGGGGGTGGGGAGGAGTGCCCTGAGTCACACCACCTGAGGGCAAAGCGAGGTGTGGGCAGGAGGCAGTGGCGTGAGAGTCCCTGATCTGCCCAGGGCAGGGGGTGGAAGTCATCAGGAGGTCTGGATTCCAGCTCAGCCCTGTGGCCTTGGCTGAGCCACTGGGCCTCTCTGAGCGTCCGTGTTCTCTGCTGAGCACAAGAAACACAATTTCTCTTTTGTGGAGCTGAGGGGGGGACCAGGTGAGATCATGTTATAAGATGCCACCAGGACCTGATTTTCATGAGTGGTCATCCCATGGGGAGAAACCAGACACGACCAGACAAAAATGCTTTAAAAGCAAGGAATAGATGAACCTCTTGGAAGCTCTAAAGGCCAGGGAATTAGCAGATGTTCAGTAGGTAGTAGCTGTTTGTTATCAAGAGAGCCCATAGAGGAGACTGTGGGAAGGCCGTGAGGGAGGGGCCCATAGCCTGTTACCAAGGGACTGTGGGGAGGGGGAGGAGAGGCCAAGAAGGCAAGGAGGGGTGGGTGCATGAGAGTGAGGGCATGTGGGTACCCTGGGAAGGACAAACGTGCAGAGAGGGCAGGCTGGTGCAGAGTGTGGATCCCGGGAGCACTTCATTTCCCGATTTCCTGGGCCTGCTTCCTCTGACCAGTGTGCACCCGTGGCCTGCGGAGGGAGTGGGAGGGCCTTTCTGGGCTATTGGCAGGTCTGTCCCTCCCATCTCCAAGGGGGAAGGCAAATGTGGCTGCCATGGTAGGCTGGAGGGTGCACCCAGCAGTGCCCCCATCACCCAGCCCACTTTCTTGTCCTGTAGTGTAAGCTGGAGCAGCAGGCGTGCCTGAGCAGCAAGCAGCTGATGGTGAGATGCGAGGGCCCCTGCCCCTGCCCCACGGAGCAGGCCGCCACCTCTGCCTCCGACAGCAAACCAGGTAACAAGTGCTGGGCCATGGGGGGGCCGGGGGGGCTCACTGCCAGGGTCCCTGGGGTCCTCCTTCAGGGCTCTGGGAGGGCAAGGGAGATTTGCAACAGGAGGGAAGATGTAGCCAAAACCAGGAACAGGCCTGAGGGACCTGTGGAGCTGGAGGGTCTGGTTTGCATGGAGCAGGAGGGCTTGGCCTCATCACAGGGAGCCTGTGCTGTGTGCTTTTGGTCCTAGGGAGTGAGAGGGAGGAGAAGATGGGAGATGGGGAGACAGAGCCTCTGATTTCTAGCTTTCCTTCCCCCTGGCGCTCCTAACCACTGCCCGGCCTCCAGGCCTGTAAGACCCCACCCCCCAGCCGAGACCAAGCTTGCTGCTTCACCCCGCCCTCCCCCTCTCCTCCTTTCTCCCTGTCTTGCCAACTGCAGAGGCGTGCACTGGTCAGGACCTGGCCGACCTGGGGGATCGGCTGCGGGACTGGTTCCAGCTCCTTCATGAGAACTCCAAGCAGAACGGCTCAGCCAGCAGTGGAGCCAGCCCGGCCAGTGGTATGGGAGCTGCTTGCTGTGCCGGGGAGGAGGGCGGGAAGATGGGGAGATGGGTGTGCACTGGGGCCACCTGGATCCACTGGGGAAGCACCCACATTTTGCCCCCTCCTGCCAGACACTGAGCGCCTGAAGGAGTCTAAACTTCAGAACAAGGGGAGGTAGGCTTTGACCGGACTGGAGGGATTTGAATTAGCTAACAGGAAGGACTCCTTAAAATGGGTGGAGAGAAACTAAATCCTGAATGAGCAGCCAAGGGAAGGGAAGGAATTACTTTCCCTGCAGGACTTTCCAAACAGGATTTTGACTGGTGTGGGGGGTCATGTAAAGAGGCCGAGGGGTGGGCCTTCAGCCGTTCTTGAGTTTCTCACCCCCATGGTTGGATTGATTCTGAGCTGTCCTGACCCTGAATAGAGGGCTGGGGCTGACCGAGCATTGGAGGGATGGATAGATAGATGGATGGAGTGATTTACCTCGAGCAGGTCTGAACTGTGGCCTTCTCCCCAGGGCTGGACAAGAGCCTGGGGGCCAGCTGCAAGGACTCCATCGGCTGGATGTTCTCCAAGCTGGACACCAGTGCCGACCTCTTCCTGGACCAGACCGAGCTGGCTGCCATCAATCTGGACAAGTACGAAGTTTGCATCCGCCCCTTCTTCAACTCCTGCGACACCTACAAGGATGGCCGGGTTTCCACTGCGGAGTGGTGCTTCTGCTTCTGGAGGGAGAGTGAGTGGGGCCCCCTCCCCAGGCCCCCTGCCTGCCATGCAGGCTCTGACCTTCACTCCAGGCCCTCTCTGGGAGTCAGGGTGGCTCCCTCTTGGCCAGCTCCCACCACCCAGAACCTTGCCAGCTCTCCAGCTTCCTGCACTCTTCAGCAGCTAATCTCTTGGAGCCCAGGGAAACCAGCACGTTGACCCCCTTCCTCAGCAGGCCCCTGGTGGATCTTATGGGTCCTGAAGCTTATGCACTTTCGGAGGCCTACTTTGAGGAAGAGTGTTAAAAACTACAAATGTAAAATTTCTAGGGCCCCTCAGAGGGCTTGGGAGAAGCTAAGCGGTCCTGAAACTGAAGCTTCGTTGGCTTCTTAATGATTCCACTTTTGAACCCATCTCATAGTATACGCCCCAGATATGGGTGTGCAAGTGATCATTAGCCTTAGAAATGTGGTGTCATTTGCCAGCTTTTTATATCCTGAACCAAGGTGGGACATGCACCAAGAGACCACCTAGGTCAAGGGGTAACCATCATCGATGGGGAAATTGAGGTTCCAAATGATCAGCTGACCAGCTGGAGGTGGGGCACCCCTGCTCTGCCTCTGGTGTTTGTCATGGTCCCCACTGTGGTTTTGTGGTGGGAGTGTTACCGCATCTGTGACCTGAGGCTGGGGCTTCCGCTATGGCTCCACCGTTAGCTGGTTGGGACCCTGGGCAACTGAATGGGGAGATAACAATACCTCAGAGACTGCTGTGAAGATGAAGTGAGAAAAATCTGGGTGCAGAGCACCATGTAAAGCACAGATCCCCCTGCCAGTTTCTCCTGTTTTGATCAGTCTCATTGCCCCTAACTGTCCAGCCTTCCACTCTTTCCACAATGGCTCCAGCAGCACTTATTACTTCCCAGGCCTTTGGAGCTCACGCTCTCTGTTCTAGCACCCGTCTAGCTGGGAGCTGAGCTCATTTTACAGCCAGTTAGGCCTCATGCTGGGAAGGGCTAGGGGACTTCTCAAGGTCACAGACAAGTTAGATTTGGCTGCTAGTTATTTTCAGGCCTCCATTGAATGTTCCCTCCAGCCTTATGTTGCCCTGGAGGCCTCTCACCCTGGGGAATCTGTGCCTTCACCCCACCTCCTCTTCTGAATCCTGTTTATTTATCCCATGAGTCCCCAATACCCTCGGGGACCCTGGGGAGCCTCAACCCATCCCACAGCCATGGAATAGCTTCTCTCAACTGGAACCTGGGTGTTCTCCCCTGGCAGAGCCCCTCTGTCATTTCAGGGGACCCTAGAGGGATCAGTGCATCCCACAGCGGCAGCGCTGTATTTTCATCTTGCAGAGCCCCCTGCCTGGTTTCTAAGCCTCGGGTAGGGGCTCAGTGAGTGCCGTCAGCACCACGGGACGGCCTCCATCAGAGGCGGCTTCTCTCTCCACAGAGCCTCCCTGCCTGGCAGAGCTGGAGCGCATCCAGATCCAGGAGGCTGCCAAGAGGAAGCCAGGTGAGGAGGCAGGTGCCCCAGGGTACCTCTGAGGCCCAGAGGCTCTAGCCTGTGGGTGTCATGGAAGGTGCTGAGTTCAGAGGAGGCCCTGGCTTAGGAAGACAGGAGAGGGAAATTCCCCTCCTGTTTATCCTCATGGTGAGGCAAGGTCTCCCAACCAACCCCTCAGGGTGTTTTAAGCATGAATTTTGTGCCCATTCCTGCTGGGGCTGTAGGTAGAAATACGGAAAGTTCCTCGAACCCTCCTTTCAATTCAGTTCAGTCAGCCAGTTCAGTTCAGTCTGTCAGTCATGTCCAACGCTTTGCAACCCCATGGACTGCCGAGTGTGTGCAAAGCTCGAGGGAGGACCCTCCCCCACAGCAGATGTTCATGTTCTCAGCAAATACTTGAGTGCCAACTCTGGAGAGACAGCAGCGAACCCAGCGCAGATCAGAACTGCTGGGCATGATGGACGTGGTCCCTGGACTCATAAAGCACAGGCTACTTGGGGAAACACACCCCACAAATTGACACTCCAGAAAAAGCGCCCATTTATGGCTCCTGTGCATGTGGTGCTGAGGGAGAGCACAGTGGACAGAAGTCAGCCGGGGGTCAACAAAGGCCTCCCTGGGAGCTGGTGTTCAAGAGGAGACCTGAGGGGATGAGAGTGAGCCAGCCAGGAGCAAAGCCGAGGGTCGGGAAATGTTCTTGGGAAACAGGAAGCTCATGCTCTTGGCTGAGCATGGTGGTTGTGCGGACAAAGGTCCACGAGGCAGGTCCCATGGGGCCTCACAGCTCCTGGGTGCAGCTTGGCATTTACCTGAGCAGTGACACCAGCATCCATGAAACCACACACCAGAACCTCCCCACAAGGCCATACTGACTGAGAGCCCAGTGGCCTTTGGGCGTGGGTGCTGCTGCCTCTTCTGTCAGGAAGCCAGGCTCTGCCTCCTGGGAGCCGTCCTCTCTGGTCTGTGTTCCTGGAACATGTGCACTGGGCGCCTGTCCTTTTATGTACGTCACCCCCACAACGTGGGCAGTCTGTCTAGCCCTGGGGCCCCAGAGTGGGGATCTCAGCAGTCCATTGAGTGAACTGAGGAGCAATCTGAAGGAAAGTGGGTGGCCCTGAGGGCAGGTCAGAATCAGAGGGCTGGGAGGAAAAAGCTGGACTTTGCAGGCCTAGGTGCAGCCTGGGATCCAGGGCATCCGGCACAGTGAGGTCAGATTGGCCATCCTACAGGACTGGGAAACCGTGGAGGCAGATGGGACCCGTAGCAGGGGCTGAGCAGGTGGCTTAGACAGGGAGCCTCTTTTGGTTGGTTTGTTTCTGCTCAGTTGAACTGGAAGAAAACCTGGCGTCCAGCCCTGGATGTCCAAGCTTGTTAAGTGGTTGGTACCTGGTCTGGCTGGGCTCTGGTGGGGCCCGGGCATCTGTGAGTCTGAGGTTCTGGAGCCCACACCCTGAGGCCCCTGCTCTGACCCTACGGGGCCTGCCCTACTCAGGGATCTTCATCCCGAGCTGTGACGAGGATGGTTACTACCGGAAGATGCAGTGTGACCAGAGCAGCGGAGACTGCTGGTGTGTGGACCAGCTGGGCCTGGAGCTGACCGGCACCCGCACACACGGGAGCCCCGACTGCGGTAAGCCAGGGGTTGGCAGCCAGGGGCCCAGCTTTTTGGGATGGGCTTCCCTGCCGACAGGGTCCTAACCTGCCCCTTTGCTGGTTCCCCTCACAGATGACATTGTGGGCTTCTCAGGGGACTTCGGGAGCGGTGTCGGCTGGGAGGATGAGGAGGAGAAGGAGACAGAGGAAGCAGGCGAGGAGACAGAGGAGGAGGAGGGCGAGGCGGGAGAGGCGGACGATGGCGGCTACATCTGGTAGATGGCCCGCGGGGAGCCGGGGCAGGCCAGCGTGCTGACGGCCGGGGGGACACGGCAGCAGAGACCTGGACAGAAGCAGGCAGATTACAAATGGATCCAGAAAATACAGTCTAAAGGACCCTGACTCCAGTGGGGAGGACCGGACGTGTGAATGTGCATGGCACTTGTGTGGGTGTGTGGCCAGGATGTATGACTCTGTGTGTGTGTGTGTGTGTGTGTGTGTGTGTGTATGTGTGGCATGCACTGACAAATGTGTCCTTGGTCCACACTGCTACTGGCAGAGGGTCACCCAAAGGCCCCTAAGGCCTCCTGTAGTTGTTTTCTTCCATTTGTTAGTTTTGAAATACACACATTCACACATACACACACCCTGCAAGGTGAAAATTGATTTAAAATGGATTCTGTGCCCTTTGCCAGCCCCCCAGCCCCATCCAAGCCGCCCTGTCACCCTGGGGTTCCTGGTCCTGGCTTTCTGTCCTTGCCTCAACCAGCCCTGCATCTCCTGCCCGTGCCCGTCACCCCTCCCTTCTGGAGTCAGGCCCTGGCCTGGTGGGATGAATCCTCGCTGCAGAGGGGAGGGAGGGCAGGGAGCTGTCTGCTGGCCAGTTTGGCTCTGACATTCCCCCTCCTCAGGCTCAGATGCGGTGAGTCGGGCACCCACCTTAGGGAGCCCTTTCCTTCTGCTGAACTCTCCTCCTAACCCAGACCAGGCCGAGAAGAACCTGGGGGCAGAAGCTGAGAGGTGGGGGAGGAGAAGGCCTTGCCAGGCTGCTGGGCTGGTGAGGGGGGGCCATGTGCGGGAGGGGAGGGGCCAGCGGGAGCTAGCTGCCTTTGCAGATCCAGGCAGAGCCCTTAGGAGTAGAGATGGGGTCGCCTGGAATGCCCTTTCCTGCAGCTCTCACATGGGGGCCTGGTCTGTGCTGTTCTGTGGAGGCAGTGGGTGGTAGTTATGCAGATGGGCTTCCCCTGTCCCTGTAGTGGGGGCACACCCTCCCCATCTCCCTGGTTGGGGTCCCCACTCCAGGAACCTGAAGATCAGGCAGCAGATAAAGGGCCTGGGTCTTGCCAATGGGTGTGCCACCTCCTCCCTGACCCCTTAATAAATGCTCCCCTCCCATCCAGACCAACAAAAGGCATTGTCCCTGAGATCCTGTGACGGAGGGGACAGCTGCAGCCTTCTGCCCTCAGAGACCACAACATTTCCCCGTCTCTCCTCCGAAAGAGGCACCCCTGGGCCATTTCCAGCCCCAGTCCTCTCAGCTCCTCGGCTTTTCCCCCCTCCGCTCTGAGGGATCCTAGGGCTGCTGTAGTGGAGGACCTCTCAAGCTCTGAGGTGTTTAGGGTTGTGAAAAGTCAGAGGGAACGGGTCTGGGGTAGCCAGAATCTGAGGCCCTGTCTCAGTGCTTCCCCAAACCTTCTTACCAGGTGGGAGCCGGGGTGGATGAGCAGGTACCTCATGTTTTTTTTTTTTTCCCCTACTCTGTCCAGTTCTCCCTGTTGAAGCAAATTTCCTAACACTTTGGTAAAGAATTTCTTTCCTGGGTTTGGGCCTCTGATGCCCTTTGGTGTATGGTGAGTGCTGTGTGTGTGTGAGTGTGTTTGTGTGTGTGTGAGTGTGTGTGTTTGTGTGTGTGTGAGTGTGTGTGAGCCAAGGGACCATCCCTGGGGGCCTGGCGTGTGAGGAGGAGCACCCTGTGTGCTGGGGGGTCGCAGGTGTGGGGTCCACATGGTGAGGTTCCCTGCACGAGCCTCCCAGCCTGGCTCCCTGGCTTCTTTAGTTCCACCCTGGGATTCACATCTTCCAGGTCCTCCCTTGAGGGGAAATGACGAAACTCCAGTTAGCCCCATGAACCGCTTCTCATTCTCCAGCACAGTTCTGGTCGTTAAGGTGTTCCGCGCTGCTCCAGATCCCCCTTGCCCGTCTCCTGCTCCCCCCTTCCCAGCCTCCCAGCCCGCCCTCTGGTCCCCTGCTCCGTTCAGGGAAACACCGGTCCACGTCAGCGCAGCCCCTCTCAGAGCTACTTGAAACTTCGTGCTCTCACTAGGATTGGAGTCTGTCTGTTTCCTCCCTCTGCCCTGGCTCAGACTTTTGGAACCATCTCCTGGGCGCAGCTGTTGAGGATGCTGGGGCATCCTGGGGTGGGTGAGGGGCGCCCCTCTCCTCTCACAGTGGCCCTCCCCTCCTGGGGCACGCATCCTCTCCGTGTCTCTGGGTCATCTGGCTGTGCACATTTTTATGACCTTGTAAATATGTTGTAGAAAGAAAGCAAAAGACGCTGAACTAGACCCTGATGGGACTCAGAGGTCCAGCCTTGCCCTGTCTGAAGCCCCTATGCTGCTTCACCCCACTTTCTGGGACCGAGGGCCCCCCAAAGTTAGACCAAGCAGCTTGAGCCCAGTGGGCTGAAGGCCTCAGGTGACTTCCTGTCGGACGAGGTGCAGCTTTCCTTGTGAGCAAGGTTGCAGGGGTGTCCTTCCTCACTCCTTGGATGTGTGCCCTTGACCAAGCTGTCTGCCACCCGGCCTCTTCTGCATCCCTCTTCTCCGTGTCCTCTCTCTGTCCTGTCCCCACTCCCCTGGCTTAGGCAGGCAGTGGAATTTGAACTGTGTTGAAAAGAGCTCGACCAGATTTTCAAAGAAATTTCTGGCCTGGCTCTGGAGCTGCCCTTGGCCACCCCAGTCTCCTTTCCCCTGGGCGCTGGGAGAGACAGTCGCGTCTAAATGGGACAGGTTGGAGTCAGAACAAACAAATGTGCCTTGAGAGACTGCTCAGAGAAGGTTCAGGGTGATGGGGAAGGAGGTGTGGGAGCTCAGGAAGGAGGAGGAGGGAAGCGCAGCCAATGAGAGAGTGAGGGGGCATGACTGCACCCCATTATCCCCTGGGGGCTGTGACCACATGTGGCCAGTGGTCACACTTCCATCCTCATGCCACCCCACCTGGGCAGGCCACCTACTCACCTCTCATGAGCTCCATGTGCTTTCAGCTTCACCAGAGTGGGTGGGGGGGTCCATGGGGATCAACCTGGGGACCCTCCATTTCACCAAAGCCTCACCCTCAGCCCTTGGGGAGAATGAATGGCTAATCCACTGACCCCCGGCATCATCATGAGGCTGTGGACTCGCAGGGGTCAAAGGGAAGAGACACTGGGGGTGCAAAAGAAGACTGGAGACATCCAAGGAAGTCCCAAGCAGAGCAAATTGCTTTATAGCCTGAAGCCTGCTTAAACCATGTTATGTGCAATAACTGAGCTTAGAGTTAAGAATTGTGTTCAAGTGCTTGGATTTCCGTCTGTATATTTAAGTGCTGAAACTGTATCTCTCAGTAATTTTAGATGTCTTAAAAAAAAAATCGAAAAACAAAGTGTTAGACTGTGTCTGTGCATTGATGGGCACTCAAGCGTCCCATGGGTCACCCACCCTCTCCCTCTCCCCTGTGCCCCCCCCTTCACACACCCTCTCCCCCCACCTCTACTTGGGGACCCTGCCTCGTGTTGTCTTTATCTGCCTATTAACTCAGCCTAAGAAAGCAAGTACACTTCACACATGCATAAAGGAAATCAAATGTTATTTTTAAGAAAACTGAAAATAAAAACTTTATAAACACCACCTACTGGCACTACTCTGATTATTCTCTCCCTCGGTGTCATTTTTCACAAAACAAGGTCTCAGAGTTCAGGCTTGTGGTCAGCAGGCTTCTCTTATTCAATTTCATATGTTAGACCTCCATGAGGATGGGGCTGCGAGGAGGGGCCCGATTTACTGAGGGAGGACCAGAAGCAACTTAGAAACATTTTTGGTATTATTATAAATATATGTGCTATATATATTTGTAGATAGGCCAATAAGTATATCTATATCACAAAGCAGAGATCAAACTCTATATTCTGCTTTTTAAAATTCAGCCTATTATGAACCTTTTCCTATAAAATTATTTGAAGACATGACTTTTTAAAAAATTTTATTGAAATATAGTTGATTTACAATGTTGGTTATTTTCAGCTATACAGCAAAGTGATTCAGTAAAGAATATATATATTCTTTTTTAGATTCTTTTCCATTATAGGTTATTATAATGTAGTTATACATTATATGTATAACTACATTATTGAATGTAGTTCCCTGTGCTATACATAGATCCTTGTTAATTATCTATTTTATTTGTGGTAGTATGTATATTTTAATCTCAAACTCCTAATTTATCCCTCCCCCCGACCCCAACATGACTTTAGTACTTGCATAGTATTCCACACTATGGATGTGCTCTAATGAATTTAATCATTTCTCTATTTTTTAATATTTCTATTGTTCCTAATTTCTTAATACTCTTAACTCTAGCCCTAGAACTTGCTAACCATGACCTTGGTCAAGTCATCTGCAGAGGTGGAGAAGTCATCTCACGAAAATCACATAGAAGTGCTTTCTCGTGCTCGCTTCGGCAGCACATATACTAAAAAAAAAAAAAAGAAGAAGTGCTTTCTCAGCAGTGAAGACCCTGCATAAATGTCTAGCTATGTCCCCTGTGCCAGCCCATAGAGCAGACTTTGCCCATCTGGCTGGAATAGATCCTAAGGAAGAGGAGCTACCTCCTGGGTGGGGGAGGCTGTGTGCGCTGGTTTTCTGTTCTCTGATACTTCTCACTGTCACTGGCAAGGTCAGACTTGGAGGCTCAGAAGTCTTCCTGGAAGGAAGTGTAAAGATAGATGTGACTTGCCTAGAAGCTGCTCCCAGCATGCAGGATGCAGGAGAAAGTAGGTTGGAGATGGAGATGGAGATTCTTGGAAACTGGTTCATTCTCTGGGTTTGTGGGGACCTATAGTTTTGGAAGTAGGGGTGCCATGGGGAGGTGTGGGGTCCTTGAGGTTGGATTGGTCAGTGGAAGCATCTTATACCAGCTCATGAAGTAGGTACTATTATTAATGCCCATTTTGCCAGTGAGGAAACAGTCTCAGAGAAGTTTGGTAACCTGACCAAGGATATGCAGCTAGTGTGAGGCAAAGCCTTGATTCTGCTTCCTAATTACTACCTCACACAAAACAGGCTGTCATCAGTGTCCAGTAACTGCTCCTTGTATGGCCCCCAGACTCCCAGAGGAGGATGGTCACCTGCACAGGGTTAAGCCAGGAAGGCTTCCTGGAGGAATGGGACTTCAGCTAGGCCCCCTACATGGGGAGGAGCTACCTAGTGGCTCAATCTTGATCTCATATCAGAATCACCTGAGGGAGTCCAGGCCCCAAGCCCCACCCACAGAGATTCTGATTTCATTGTTCTGCATTGGGGCCATCACTAGATAATGCTGATGTGCAACCAGATATGGCATCCAGACTAAGCAGATAGGAGCAGGGCATGTCCCTTAGGTGAGGGCAGGATGTGCAAGAGGCCAGGGCAGGAAGAAGCCAATGAGGAGCCAGGACTGGGCCCCTGTCTCTGGGTGGGGGCAGTGTGAGGTCTGCAGGCCAGTTCACGGGCAGGAGCCAGGAGGTCCAGCGGTCCCCTGGCAGTAGGTCTTCCATTTTATTGTTTCATCTAATGTCAGTCACCAAGCCAGGCCTGGATACTGGATCATCGGGGAGCCTGTAGTCTGCCATATGTGCCTGTGTTCACCCCTTAGGAAGCGTGAGTATCCTCAGGCTACAGGGAAATGTTGGTGTTTGCACTTCATGATCAGCATTTGCTCAAGCAATGGGGAGGCAGAGGTTGGGCAGGGCCTAAGCTTCTGGAAAAATTCATCCCTTGTCATCATAGCCTGGCATCCTGGGTTCCCAGGGCAGTGAACAGAGAGCATCACCCAGGGCAGGCCCAAGAGCTGACGGCAGTAAGCGAGTGACTGGGATGCCCACTGCCGCTGCTCCTCTTGGACATGGTCCCTCAACCCTGGTCGTCCCACCCGCTCCCTGCACTGTGGGTGCCACCCTGGTCTGGTACCTTGCTTTTCCACAGGTTTAGCCTCCTGCAGACAAGGACTGTGTATTTACTGCTCTCAGGTGGGTAGCCAGACCTAAGAACAAATCTAAAAGAAAAAAAAGTCACATGTAAACCCATAGAGAACCAGCGTCCCCCCACCTGCCCTGGGAGCCCCACGCCTTTGGCTGGTCTCATCCTTTTTGGGTAGAGTGAGCTTGGAGAGGGGGTAGATTTGACCAAGCACAGATAAGACACCAAACAGAAAACAACAGCAACAAAACACCCCCTAACTTAAAAAATAATTTTTAAAAAATTTATTTTTGAGCAACACAGGTGAGGGAAAGGAGGAAAACACAAGTGTTTCTCTCTTCCCATCAGCATCCCACGTGCTTATTGCATTATGTTGCTTAATCTTCCCAACAACCCCAAGAGAGAGGTATTACCCACCCACTCCCGTTCATGCAGGAAACAACTTGGCCTCCAGGGGGTGACCTTGGTTCACTCCTGTATCCATGATGTAAACCTGGCCTGGCCGACTCCAGTGTGAGGCTCCACCTTCTGCTCCCACTGCCGGGTGATCCCGCAGTATTTACCGCAGAGAGCCCACGTCGTCATAAACAAGTCACGGCAAACGCGGACAGGAGCGTGAGTGCCGGGAAAGAGCATGGAAGTGAGACCACCTGGGATTTGCCTGGTCTGGTCTCTGAACGTGGGTCAGCACCTCCCCATGAGCCCCAGTTTCTGCAGCTGTGAGATGAAGGGCTGGGACCTAGACTACCCAGTTCTGTGATTCTGTGGCAGAGTGCAAAGGCAGGAGTCCTGACAGGCTCAGAGTTTTCTTGCTCTCCCTCTCACATTCCACACCTCCTCTAATTAACCCCAAGCGCTCACACATTTGCAAAGCAAAATTAACTATGCTTTAAAAAGAACGCTGGAGAAGGGCTGTGAGCCAAGGGAACCATCTTTCGGAAGGCTCAAAGGACCAAAGGATGGAGTGCTTCTGTCGGTGACGACTGGAGGTCGGGAGGCTGGGGCCAGATGGGAGCAGGGTGCTTCCTACAGTTGAGGGGACAGGAGGAGAGAGGCGTGCTGTCCCCTTCAGCCTGAGCACACTGCCATGTGCAGGGAGGGGGCCCGAGGAGGTCACCTCGCTGACACAGTTCCGCAGCGCGTGGCTGGGGCAGACATTGACTTCAGGCCCAGCCAGGTCAGAGCCTTCACATGCATGATTTCATCTGAGCATTACATGGATGAGGACACTGTCACACAACTGTCTGCGACAAGCCCTCTCACTAGTCCCCCTTTATAGAGGTAAGGCAGAGACACAGGTGACAAAGCGTACAAGGCTGAGTGAGAGATGAAGAATGCACTTAGGTGGTTGGGTGTTGGGACCCCTGGGGACTGTGACAGTCACTCCAGTGAAGTGAGAAGAGTGGATGGAGGGAAACACTTGCAGATGGCTTGGTTCACAGAGGACTTGCTCCCACCAGGCCGTGTGCTGTGAATACACTGACCCGGGCCATCTCCCTCACTCCTCATCGAGTCCAAAGAGCGTGGGGAGCTCTGAGGGCCTTGGAGTCCAGAGAGATGAGGTGGGGTGTGGCGTAGGATGGGAGGAGGCCTTGCCCTCTAGAGGAGGAGGGCCTGGCCTGCAGGGCCTGTGCCCAGGCAACAACAGGTCCCAAAGCCCACGGGATCCCTAGCAGTTCCTCAAATACAGGCCGGTGCAGAGGCTGCAGGATGAGCCCACATCCATGCTCCCCTCCTAGAGTTACAGAACCCCCCGTTTATGGCGGGGACCCTGGCCACCCAGGCAAAGGCCACACCTCCCAGCATCCCTTGCAACTCCCCATGAGCAGAAATGACAGACACCACTTCCTGGTGGTGGTCTTCAGGAGAAGCTGCCATACTCCCCCCACCCGCCCCAACTCCTGCCTCTTCCCACTGCCGGGAATACAGACACAGCTGCTCCATCTGAGGTGACACAACCGGGAGAAGCAGCCTGGGCCCCACTCACCCCAGAGTCACCGTTCCAGCCAGTAGAGAGAAACGTGTTCATTTTGTTTAAATCATTGTTACTTTTAGTCTCCGATACAAGAGCCAAGTTGCTTCAGTCGTACCTGGCTCTTTGCGACCCCATGGACTGTAGCCCACCAGGCTCCTCCGTCCATGGGAGTCCCCAGGCGAGAA